GGACACAACAGGAAGTAGAAATTCTCAAAATTGCACTTATGAAGTTTGGAGTTGGTAGATGGAAAACTATAGAACAGACTTAGTGTCTCCCTACTAAGACAATGTCGCAGATGTACCTCCAAACTCAAAGACTGGTAGGATAGCAATCACTTGCTGAGTTCATGGGCTTACATTTGGACCTAGAGTAGATCTTTATCAAGAATCTTGAGAAATAAGGACCCGGTATTTTCAGAAAAAATGGCTGTATTATTAATACTGGAGATAATATGACCAAGCAGTCAATTGCTAAGATGAGAAAGAAGAATTCTAAGTAGTTTGGGCTATCACAGTAATTTGTTTAGTCTCTGCACCTTCCCAAAGCAAGAGTAAAAGAGTGGCTTAAAGTACTCACTCTTGAACAGATTCTAGCGGCTAAAAGCAATTTTTCAACGGCTGAGAAGATACACTACCTCCAAATACTGTAGACTGCACTCGAGAGAAAACTCAAAAAAATCATGAAACTTCAAGAAATGGCTAGTACCTACAGACTTAGTCAAATTGCTATAATTCTCAAAAAGGTTAGAAGTCCATCAGGACTTTAATACGATTATGAGGATACTATCGAAGTAAATAATATCAGAATCATTGAAAGAGATCCCCTCAGGTTCAGGAATAACTTGGATGATGACAGAAATAAAAGGAAAAATGGTTAGTTTGCTGTTGACGATGATGATCTTGAAGATTCTGATGATGACTAGACTAAAGATTTTACTTTTGATTGATTTAACTAATTTAATTAATTTGCTATTAAATATATGTGTTTAGTACGTTTAATAAAATTGTAATAATTTAAAGGGAATTTCATAATGATTTTTATCCATATCCTGCACCTAATCATCTTGGTCCTCTATTTGCTTTTTGATCGAGGCCAATTATAGTAATGGAAAGTTTCTTGGTCAGACGAATTCGATGGAGATAAAATCAATTTGAATAATTGGAATTTTGATTCTGGGAATTCTGGCTGGGGTGAAAATCAACTATAATATTATACTGATAAATTTGATAATGCGTACCTGGATAAAGGTTCTCTGAATCTGGTAGCTCTCAAAGAAAACTTTGGCGATGCCGAGTATACCTCAGCTAGACTCAACTCGAATAAAAAGTAGTCATTCTAAAATGGAAAGTTTGAGATAAAGGCAAAGTTTCCTAAAGGATAGGGAATTAAAGCAGGATTTCTGATAAGAGGAGATAATATTGATTAGGAGGGCTGGCCCCAATGCGGTGAGGTGGAATTATTCAAGTACTCAGGAAATAACCCTGATTTGATATACTCATCTGTCTAATCAAATCAATTTGTAAGAAGTATTGCTCACTCTCTTCAAAATACTAGTGATGGATTTCACATTATCTCTGTTGTTTTTAATCCTGATCACTTTTTATTCAATTACAATGACCAGACATATTTCATAGTCAATAAGCAATAAACCTTTTTCAAAAATTAATGGCCATTTCAAAGCTAAAAATATCATCTGGTTTTATATCTTGCAGTTGGTGGAGATATGGCCGGCCAACCTTCAGATGAAATACAGTGGCCTGCTATCCTTGAGATAGATTATATCAGGCTATATAAAATGTGATTAATTAAACCTCATATACATAATTTTCTATTTTAGTATATAAACGTAGTATTTCTAGATGGGGTTTTGGGGTTTTGGGGTTTTGGGG